GGACATAACATCTTTGTTGGTATGTGGTGCTGAGGATCGAACCTAGGTCGCACGCATGCCAGGCGAGCACGCTACCGCTTGAGCCACATCCCCAGCCCCCCAGCCCATCTTTGAAATGATAGTTTCTCTACATATTTTGTTAGCTCATTTACTAAAATAGGAAGCACCGAAGTGTCCGAAGTTGTTGAACATGAAGAAAAGCATGTATATTGATTTTACATAGGAGACAGGGAACTGTGTGGTATCATTTTGGTATATTTTGTGACTTTGGCAAGTGTGGGAGTTTGGAGAATATTTCTTTGCTCTAACATCTCTGAACCAGGAATGCAACTGGTAATGGCTGGTGAAGATAGGTAAAACTCCATGAAAATGTGCCTTTTGGTATCACTGATCTGGATGTAATGCTGTTGGGGGTCTCTCAATACTATGCTTAGAGCCTGAGGGCAGAGTGCTTATTCTGATTGGGGTTGGGAAGATGGAGCAGGTGGATCAGAAATAACTGCCTTGTTATCACTGGCGAGTTGGTTTGTTGTGTGCTTTGCAGGTTTAATTTAGTTTACTTCTTTGCTGTCTATGCTAGTCGAGACGAACTGAAAGTGATTGATTGCAGTAATCTCCAGTTAACATCCTTCATTTTGTGCGACTGAGTTTTGGGACCCAATTTACAGAATTAAGGCAGGGTTTTTACCTGACCTTTTATGTTTAGAATTCACATCCCTGGCCTTAATGCTGAGAGACTTTGAAGTTTAGCATTGTCATGTTCAGCACCCTTAGGTGCTCTGTGCCAGAGATGATCTCTTACATTCATAGCAGTCCTCCTGGGGAGATAACAAGAAACTCATTTTTAGTCTTTCTGATTCTCAGGTATCAACTTGAACTAAAGGATGAATACATCAATAGAACTAACAGACTGATTGAAGATGAAAGGAGGAATAAAGGTGACTCTTGGGGAGCAGGGAGGGGTTTTATTTTTCAGTTCTGATGTAGTCTGTTAGTTTCCTGAGTAGGGTCTGTTGTATATTCAAAAATTTCTATAAAATTACATTTTTTGTCTTTCTAGTTTTATAAAATTTTTAAAATAATCATTGTCCTTCACTGACTTTTTGGAAATCTTCATGTTTAACATTTTGTATATTCACAAAGATCACTAATATATCTTTAGTACTATATCTGATTTTATTTCAATATGTTTTGATCTGTGATTATCAAGAAGGTGACAGCAACTTATTGCCACCTGGTAAACATTACTCTTAACCATGAGAGACTTTAAATTTTACTTATGGAAATTTTTAACCAAGGTTTGTTTAACCAAATTTTTAACCTCGGTGACCAAGGTTTGTTTTTGTTTTTTTCTTCTAATGTATTTTGACACTGTATGGTATTTTTACTTGACATTCAACCTTATGAAACCTCATTTACATTGATCCAAAACTGTGGAAATTGAATAATTTTAGAATTTTCAGATATTTTTCATTTCAGTGTACACCCAGGAAATTGTATCAAGAAGTTGAACTTTTGATGAAAATTTCAGACAGTTTCTTCAGAGTAAATCAGAACTGGGTACAGGGTTTATTTCTTGCCCACTAAATTTTTACTCCTACATCTGCTAATTTTATTTATGAAATAATGGTCATTAGGTCTGGCAGACTGCCTTAAATTATTAAATGTCTTTTGGATTCATTAGGAAAGCATTATTTAATTGCTGGGCTTTTTCTTTCAGAAAAAGCTATTCATTTGCAAGAGGAGCTCATAGCTTTTAATTCAAAGAAGGAAGAACTAAGTCAATCTATAAATCGTATAAAAGAACTTGAGGTAATTGTTATCCCCTTTTTTTGAAGCAGACTTTAGGCAGTACATGAAATTTTAGTTTTAGGCATGAATATCTTATCTGGATAGGTTTTGCCTGATTATTCTAGGACCAAGAAGGTGATGACTGAAGTTAATTCAATATTTCTTCATTTCAAAGTCCCATAAAGAAGTGAAGAAAGAGCTTTGGGTCCTAGAGTTCTGTGCAAATCTGTTTCTCACTGTAGATTTTAGGATATTTCCCACATCATATGATTTTTGAGGGAATTCAGTGAGCTAACATGCATCTAGCCCATAGCATATAACTAATACATATCTGTTCTACCTCAGCCTCTTCTATCCCATTGGCAGCAGGTAAAAATTCCTATCATTATATCATTATCTTCCAAATTAAAACAAAATGAGGCATGTTTTTCACATGCCACTGTTTCTTCTGTTCACTGGTATGCTTGCTTTTGACAAGGTAGAACTGGAACTTTAGGTGAAGTATATTCTGTATATAAAATTTGCTTTTGTAACCATGATGATTTATTTGACAGTATTGTAGGCTTCTATATCTTAATATCAGATATATTATACCAAGGAAAGGAAAACACTTCACAGCAAGTAAGAGACTACTGTCTCACCTCTCATAGTAAAGATGTATTGCTACAATGTGTCTGATTGTCGCTGGGTCCTGGTTGCACTGGGAAAATAGAGTGATAACTTTCCTCAGAAGCACTGGCTTTCTAGGGTCTATAGATACAATTTATGAACTTACCTTGTTCCAACTCCAGTATAGAAAATGACTTTTTTTTACCATAGTTAGGTCTTATGGTTGGAGAGAACTAAACCTCTAAGTTGTAATGCATAGCCTAACTCAGTCTTCTGGCTTTGACTTGTATAGTAAAATCATTCAAATGTAAGTTTTCTTTTTTCATTTAAGCTTGAATTAGAGTCTGTCAAAGCCCAGTTTTTGACAATAACACAACAAAACCACTTGCTGAATGAAAAGATTAAAGAGATGAATGATTACTCAGTACTAAAAGAAGAGAAGCTAGAACTTCAGGCACAAAATAAAGTACTTAAACAACAACTGGAAGAGAATAAGAATGAAAATTTGAATCTCCTAAACCGTATGTCCTTTTTTTCTTTTTCTGATTTACCTATTTCTGTAATTGACATTAGGTCAGTGTTAAGAAACTCTGCATTGTATCTATAACACAGGCATAACTTGGGTAGATTTGATAAGATTCTGGCATTGGAATTCCATTGCTTGCTGTTGCATAGCAGTGTCACTTTAAGAAGGAACTTTTTTTTTAAGCTGTGCTGCCTTTCTGGGTGGTATCATGGGTGACTGCCAATTGGGTTTTGCCACTGGGGCAACAAGCTGCAATAAGCACTTGGAGGAAGGAAGAGGAGGTCGAGTTTGTTGATATCCAACTGCCACCCCAACTTCTGTACAGCGGCCCTAGACTACCCACTGCTCTTGTCAGCTTAGCGAGGTTCAGTGTACCTATGGGTAGCCTCTCATCAGTGCTCTGCACCTGTGCCCACTCACTCTATCTACTTCTGTGAATGTCTTCCTTCTCTGGCCCTCCAGGCCCGAGGGGGTGCTAACAATATGACCCTGTTTCTAGTCCAGTGAACCACAGTATCCTTTTTGGTTACCTTGCATAAAGTGTCCTACCTAAACATCTGTTTGCTTTCTGCCTGGACCCCAACTCACTGACAGTTGCTCAGGTCGAATGAGAGCTTAAAGTAGTTAGTCATCATTGGGTAGACAGCTAGAGGGCTTCTTCTAGGCCTTGTGTGCATGGCAGAGGATAGAGACAGGCTTTCAATAATTCAAGGATTTGAAAGAATTCTTTCACTTGCAATAAAACTCCAAGAGTAATGAAGTGTGGTAACATTTATTAAATTCTTTTGTTCTGAAGCTTGTGAATCAGGATTGGTCTCGGTCTACTAATGGAATTGATAGAATATTAACTGCATGAGTACAAAGAAAAGAAACAATTTAAAATCTCTTTAGCTACTTTTGTTAAGTGAAATAAAGTTGATAATGACCAGAATTTTTCTACCTTCTTAGGCATAGCTCAGCCGTCTCCTGAGCTTCTGGTTCTTCAGAAAGAATTGAAGAAAGCAGAAAGTACTATAGCACTTGAGCATAAGGAGTTTGAAACTCATAGACAAGTTCTGCAAAAACAGCTGCAAAGTGAAGTGAGTATTGTTCTTCACTCATGCCAGTGTTACACCAGTCTACTTTATAGATACCTAAACTTTGCACAAGCCACACCAGCACAGATCAGATCTTTTAACTCTCAAGCTGGTTGCAGTAGCACACATCTGTAATGTCAGCTACTTAGAAGGCTGAGGCAGGAGAATTGCAAGTTCAAGGCCAGCCTGGGCATCTTAGTTCCTTTCTCAAAGTAAAATAAAACAGCTGAGGGTGTAGCTCATTGGTAGATCACCCCAAGGTTCAATCTCCAGTACTACAAAAAGCAAAAAAAAAAAACAAAAAAAAAATTACCCTCTGAATATGATAAAGGGTTCTTTCTCATCTGAGAAAATTCTCTAGTGATTATATGACTTCATATTCATAACTGTCTTTCATAATTGAAATAAAAGCTAACTCAAACATAAAATTTTCTGAGTGCATGATAGTACCATGTTAGTGTCTTGATTCCCACCCTGAGACTTACAAATGTTCACTGTGTCTTTCTGATTTCAGCCTGCATGCCCTAAAGTAGCTGTTCTTTGAATGAAAAAGGTAGTGAAAAATTCATTTGTGTGTTGTGTTCGTTTTTTTTTTTTTTTTTTTTTTTTTTTTAAACAGAGACCCATTGATTACTTGGTATAAAGCTTCCCAGAATTGGCAAAAAATAAGAGGATAAGCACAATAAGAGATTTTTTTTTTTCCTTTTGAAGCAAGCTGTAATGTGTTCTACATTGATTTTCTTTTCTTCTCTGAACCTTTTCAGATTGAACATTCTGCACAGCTAAAGGCCCAGATATTAGATTATGATGCTTCTGTAAAGAGGTTAAATATTCAAGTTGGTGATTTAAAATTGCAACTGAAACACACTCAGACAGGTTAGAGACATTTGTAAACCATAAATATTTTGGTGCATGAAAAGCTTCTGACATTTGTGTAAATGTAATAATTGTAATTTATTAACCACATAGTATTTCTTGTATTTTGGGGGAGGGGGTTCATAGGAATAAGTATCATCCTACCTACAGTGGGGGTGTGGCTTGGTGGTAGAGAACTTGCCTAACATGTATGAGGTCTGGGTTCCATACGCAGCACTACCAAAAAAAAAAAAAAAAGATGTGTACATTCCTTGAAGTAAACTTTTTTATCTCAGAAATACCAGCTGATCACCAGAATGAATGCTTTCACAGGTGCCCCAAATAGAAAAGTTGTGGTGGTAACACAGAAGTCTCCAAATCCATCGTAGGCATTCCTTTTTTTGTTACCCTGATAAGATTGATTGGCTCTTCAGTAGTTTTACGTATTCCTTAACAGAAATATATATAAATATATTGGAGAAGCAGGTTGGCTTGGCAAAAAGAACACTGCTGCTCTTTTAGAGAATTGTTTTGTACCCCAATTTTGAAGGTAATTGTTTGATTTTAGGTACAGTGCTCAGTTCCCCCATTTGTAATGAGGATGATAATACCTACCAGGCCATAGTAAACAAAGATGAAATGACATGGGTCCCAATTCAGCTCATGGGACATAAAAGACACTCTGAAAATAGTTCCTGCTCTTTCATTAAAATGCCTTCTCTGTAGATGCATATCTGTCCCTACTTCCTAAGAAGGATATTGAAGCTTAGATACTTTATTTTCCAATTGCTTTCAAACTCAAAGTGTGTATGTGTTACCAGTTCAGCTGGTTTCTCATGGTCCCTTTGGTCTGAGCCTTCCTTGCTTCCCACTTGCAATCTTTCCCTGTCAGTCCCTAGTATTTTCTATCTTCACTAATTTTATTTCCATCTCTCTACTTTTTCCTATTTCTCATTTTTGCTTAGCAATTCTGTTTGCCGCAGTGTCCAGAGCAAACTCATAGAAGTCCTGAATAACGAAAAATAATTCACTGAGCATAGAGCCCTTCTGCATACATGTATTGTCTATTGCAAGCTTCTGTCTCATAGCATCATAGGGAGGCATTGTAGGAGAGGAGCTGGTATATGCACTGGCTTTGCTTTAGGAAATCCCAGTGGTTCTAAAACTTGCTAACTGTGTGATCCAGCCTCCAACCCCCACCAGTAAATGGGAGCAGTGAGAAGTCCTTGGCCATAGTGTTGTCATGAATGAATGAAATTCTTTTCCCTTATCTGAAACTCGGCCATATGCTGTGAATTTTGCTACAGCCCTGGAAATTCTGGACCCACATCCTATTGTGAAGCACATTAATTACTTTGAAGTCAAATCTATGAATATTTATGCTGGTTGGGATTAATAAAGATTATGAATAAGTTTACATTGGTACGGGTCAAGCTTTTCAACCAAATGAATTCAAATCTAGTTGTACTTTGCCACCAAATAAATTGTAAATAGATTTTTTAATTCTCAGAGCTTTTTGGCTTTCAAAATCATGCATAAAGGATTGTGAAATTCTATCTTATATTATAAAGGAACACATATGAATCTGTGACTGGTACATATAAGCTCTCAACAAATGTTAACAGTTCTTACCGTGGCCTCAGAAGTTGTTTAGTGTGAAGTTTGCCCTTTATTCTCAAATATATTTTAATTTTGCTCACTGCCTTTTGTCCTCATTTTATAATCTGCAGCCCTGGAGAATGAAGTGTACCGCAACCCAAAGCGGTCTCTGAGCCATCGGTCTGTGAGTGGGCTAATAAGTGGCAAAGTGGTGCCTCACAGTGGTGATACAAGCAGGGATTTCTCAAACAGCCCTCTTGGACAGGAGAAGGTTACGGCAGTTGCAGTTGTACCAAGAATCACAGGTTATCCAAATATAGGAAAAGAGGCTGGTTCCCCAGACTCTGACCTTGAGTTTGTGGCCAGTACAAAAGCCAGGGTAAAAGAGCTAGAGCAAGAGGCCGAACGCTTGGAGAAAGCTTTCAGAGATTACCATCGAAGAGTTCTTCGAAACCCGGTTAAGAGCCCACCACTAGCAAAGAGTCCACCGTCTTCACACTTACGGGGAACCCTCAAAACTATCACTTCTAGCTCCCTGGAAAGATGTGCTTTTACAGAAGACCGAGTTATCCCTGAGCACCCAGAAAGACGGATGTTGGCAGAGGACAGAGTTTTTTCTGGGCAGCCTCAGGTGGGCACACCTAACGAGGAAAAGAGTGCTGCCTCTGAGGCACAGACAGGCAGCACAGCTTCGCGGGCACGCAAGAGTACTTCTTCCAGACGTCTCTCCTCCACGCCCCTTCCAAAAGCAAGAAGAAGCCTCAATAATGAAATGTATTTGGAAGGTAAGCTACTATCCAAAGGGTTGCAGGATGCTTGGGAGTTGATCAGACCTGGTCATCATGGAATGTCTTTCTTGAATATTTATACAGGCCCTAGACAGCAGGAAACAGTAAATAGCACATGTAGCAGTGAGCCTGGGGGAGCCCTTGCTGGAGCAGCTGTGATTGCTCTGAACCTACCATCTCCTGGTTAATAATAGTGGCATCCCTCCCATGTCCCAGGGTTGTTATGGGAATCAATGTCATAAAGGATGTTGAGATCAGGCTGGGAATGTAGCATGCACAAGGCCCTGCCTGGGTGCAATCCCAGTACAGCCCAAAAAAAAAAAAAAAAAATAGTCAAGATCTAGTGTTCACTTAGCATGTAGAGGTGTTCAGGGGGTGAGAGTGGCCATTCCTTTGCTGCTGGTCAGTTTTGTACATTTTAGTATTAACTCGAGAGTTATAATTTAAGTGTTCAAATTGTTGCCTTTATGATCTGAAACATCGTACTCATATATTCAGAGGTGATAACCTATTTTCACTAATAGAGCTTTTTAAAATCTACGTTGGTGTCTTCTTCATGCAATTTTTAATATTCTTGCCCTGATTCCTTCTGCCTTGTAGGTGTGGGCAAATCACTTCTTGCTTCCCCCAATTCTTGTCCTGACAGAATGTCCCAGCCATCACCCGTGGAATCTGGGCATAGCCTCTCTGCCCCTTCCTCCTCCAGCCCTCCAGAACATAAGGCCAGGTATGTACCATTGTTTGATGGGCTTCATTTGAATCATGTTACCTGCTGTCTCGGCCCTTTTTTTTTTTTTTTTAAAGGAGATCTTAAAGATGATGTGATACTATAGAATTTGTAGTCAGATTGTAAAATCATGTGTGATCTTTGATAATCATCTGAATACCCGCGGGGAATGTTATATAATACCTTCCAAGTTCTGTGAATAGGCATGGTGTATAAAGAGATGTCTGAAATTTGTCAAAACAGCTAAGTTGGTCTATTTTTAAAGTTGGAACAATTTCATACATCATTAAAAAGCCATTTTTAAAAAATGACATTTAAATGTAAACAGATAAGGTTCTGATTTATGTATCATTAAAACAAATTACGAAGTGATAGTGGGTTCTAGAATATGATTATTGAAGCAGGAAGAAGTGGATGGTTTTGGAAATTAGGCCAGTGGGGGCAGGACTCCCATCTGTGCCTGGTCCCCACAGTAGGAAATTTGACTCCTTAGTTTTGGGTTTGAGCCTCGGCATCTGATGTTTATGTAGTTCTCCTGTATAAAGTTGAAAACTTACATGTACCTATCATGGACCTAGGGCATTTAATTTTTTTAAATATTGTACTGTCTTGTAATAAATGTAAAAGGAAAGACCAGACCCACACATACCCTGAGTTAGTACAATTTGACACACACAGGCTCATGGTATTGTATCTTCAGTTGGTTTGAGCTGGTGCTGTATGAAAGGTTGTCTCTTGTGGTTGTTAGAAAACTAAGAGAACAATACCTTATGCCTGGTGAGTACTCAGTGCACTAGGGCTATATTTTAAAAAGCCATAGAAAAATGAATTTTGTAAATTATGTTTTTGAGTCACAGACAGCTTTTTGTCATCCTCTGCTGTTAGGTTCTAACATTAGTAAGAATTCACATTCATGAATTTTATTCTTCCAATCCAGTCTTCATCAGAAACAGACTGAAATTCAAGAAAAAAGTGAATTTTCGAATCTAGACAAGCTAGCTTTTAAGGATAATGAGGAATTTGAATCATCTTTTGAATGTAAGTTCAAATATAAGTACTGGTTTTTATAAGTTAAAATTGTAGAAAGTTTAGTTTTACTGAAACAACCATTATTATAAGCAAAGTAATTAAAAACTAGGACATTTTTATTTTGTGATAAGACCAAAAATATGGATATATTTCCTCATTTTTCTGTCATGAAAATTTTCAGGGGTTCAGCTGAGTTTTCTTTTTAAAAATTTCAGGATGACTCATCATTTTGAGGTTACAGGCTTAAGCCCATAAATGAATACTTAATTTACCCACTTTGGGATTATCTCAGATTTAAAATAAGTAGGTTTTTTAAAAAATTTTTATGGAATATAAAGATGTTGATTGCTCAGATTAAGAAAATCCCATCCTTAGTAAAAGAATGGAGGTAAAAGAATATTAAAATAAGAGTCCAGGAACAGATGTCCTGGCTACAGCCTTTTCTTGGACTGTCTCACCACATAGTCCACTTTATAAGTATAAAATAGGATGTAGGGTCCATCTTTTCTGAGGCTTTCTCCAGCTTGAGAAATCTACTTGTATACAATCTATCATTTAACCTTATCAAACTTATCATCATCAAATCTGAAAATATCATATTTTGAACCATTAAATGAGATGCTTAGTAAATTTTGTGAAGTTCTTTTAACTGGCCAGTTGAATCTTCAATATTTAAATTGAATGGAAATGGTTTATCATCAATCAAGTGAACTCTTAAAACTGGATTGATTTTCCTGCTAGGTAATGAATCCAATTTTGTGAACAAATTTAATTTTTTTTTTTTTTTTAACATTTATTTTTTAGGGGTTGGGGTTGTGGCTCAGCGAGAGAGTGCTTGCCTAGTACATGCGAGGCACTGGGTTCAACCCTCAGCACCACATAAAATAAGTAAAATAAAGATATTGTGTCCAACTATAGCTAAAAAAACTTTTTTAAAAAAATTATTTTTAGTTGTAGGTTGACACAATACACTTAATTAATTAATTTTTTATGTGGTACTGAGGATCGAACCTAGCACCTCAAGCATGCTAGGCAAGCGCTCCACTGCTGAGCCACAACCCCAGCCCCAATAAATTTAATTCTTTAAAGTATAAGAACCCTTTGGGCCCAATCACTAACACTGCAAAATAAAAACAAAAACTGCCTCAAGAAGTAAATATATTGGGAAGTGACTGAGAATTTGTTAGAATCCTGGCCAGCCACAGTGGTGTGTGCCTGTAATCCCAGCAATTGAGGAGGCTGAGGCAGAGGAGGATCACAAGTTCAAAGCCAACCTCAACAACTTAGCAAGACCCTGCCTCAAAATAAAAAAGGGCTGAGGATGTGGCTCATGGTTAAGCATTTCTAGGTTCAATCCCTAGTACCAAAAAAGAAAAAAAAAAAAAAAAAACATGTGGGAGGCTGAGGCAGGAAGATTGCAAGTTAAAAAATTATTAGAATCCTGTAGGCAGGGCTCCCCTAGTCACTTTAGCTGTAGTTCATGTGTTCCATGGTTTAATCCCCCTGCCCCCTGCCCTCCCTTCTCCTATTACTTAAGGACTCATGACACAATTGCTTGTACCTCCCATAGATGCAGGGAACAGGTCAAGACAGTTTGAAGCAGATGGGTTACACCCTGCTGGTGATATGCCTCATGTGGATGCTGCTGCAGCTACTCTGCCTACAAGACCTGTCCCACATCATAATTCAAGTAAGTTTTTCTTGTGTTAAACTAGCAGTTAGCATAGCCATATATTGAATGCCAGCCTCTGTGCTATATAAATTATTTCCTATATCATTGAAGGATTTTATAAGCATAACTTACTCAGTCTTAAAGTTGGAGTGTTATCATTGTTGATGGAGTTTTTTGTTGTTGTTGTTTGTTTGTTTGTTTTTGGTGGGGTACTGGGGATTGAACTCAGGGGTACTCGACCACTGAGTCACATCCCCAGCCCTATTTTGTATTTTATTTAGAGATGGAGTCACACTGGGTTTCTTAGTGTCTCGCAGTTACTGAGGCTGGCTTTGAACTCTCGGTTCTCCTGTCTCAGCCTCCCAAGCCTCTGAGATTAAAGGTGTGCACCACTGCATCCAGCTCAGGAGAGTTGCCTTTTTTTTTTTTTTTTTTAAGTCGTAGATGGACATAATATCTTTATTTTATTTGTTTATGTGGTGCCAGGGATTGAACTTAGTGCCTCATGCATGCTAGGCAAGCACTCTACCACTGAGCCACAACTGTAGCCCTGGCTCAGGAGAGTTGGCTTTTTAAAAATGTATTTTTTTACCTGTTCTGAGTCTGACAGAACAGTTACACTTTTCCATCATACAGTTCTGCAAAAATCATTCCATAGGAGCCTTAGTATCTTGGGAAACAATGTTGAACAACTGAAACAATGGTCAACTCACATTCTCTATCTTTATGTGATTGTAACATTTTAATATTATTATTTTTCTATCTGGTTGCTTCCATTATGTCTTAAGAGATTAGAACCTAAAAACTATATTTCAATCTTGGGGAAAGCTGATAACACTAAGGTGATTGTGTTGTGGGGCAGGTCGCTCAGAAAACACACCAAGTCCCAGTTTTGTCCAAATTGAAGACTCTTTATTTAGCCGGCCGGCTGGCAAGTATTTCCCACAGGACCCATAACTGTCTCTGCAAGGAACAGGCCCAAGCCTGAGCATTTTAGGATATTTAATGGCAAAAACTGCATCTGGGTTGACATAGCTGCAAGCAAGCAGGTACAGAAGCTGAATTGGGCAGTTAGCAGGACAATGCATTGTGTATGTACATTGGTATTTCCCACGGGACTTTCCTGGTTAGCATAGCAGCAAGCAAGCAGAAGGGAAGTGGGTCAAAATGACCCTAGTTCAGTACAAGTTAGAGAATGGTTACTAATGTGTAGATAATCAATCTCTGACAAGGTACATTGCCTGAGAGAAATGGAAACCAAAGAGAACAATTTTACATTGTATAAGAATTGCTATTTTGTGTTGCCAAGTATGACATGCTAGGTAACTTAATGGGTTCAGAGGTGGGGCTTTCCCATGGGAGAAGCATTTCTTACATGATATGGAGTCTCAGGATAAAATGGAGTCTGTTTGGTCATTGCCCATATAGCCTGGCCCATAACAATTGGTGCTAGAGGAAAACTGGCCCTTAGACTTCTGTCTGCCCATGTCTCTCCAGCTTACCCACCTGCCTCTCTGGTGGAGGGATCAGGGAACAGTACAGCCTGGGCCTTTTCTCCTTAGTCCAAAATGCTTAAGCCTCATACCTGAAAAGAAGTGTCTCAAGTAAAGCTACCTTTTAGTCCTTCCCAAACATATTCAAAGCCTCTGGTTAGCAGTTTCTCAATTTAAATCACAGTGCATATGAAGAAGTACTGAAAGAAGCAAGACTTCAAGAGGGTTGATTTTGCTGACTCCTGTGTAAATCTGCTTTGTAAGGCATTCACTCAACCAGAATTGATCCAGAGCAATCTCTCTGTGGCACTACTCTAGAGACCAGGCATAGAGCAGTGAACCAAACAGAGCCCCTTCCTTCATGGAGTTTCTAGGGGTTGGGGGACCCAGGCAGTCAGCAAACCAATACTGCGGCTCTGAGGAGGAATTGTACCAACTGATGAGGGGCAGTGTCCATATACACAGGCCTGAGTGAGGGAGGAAATCAGTGAGCACTAAGTGTTCTGCCTTGAGACACAGTGGTGATCATAATAGTTTTTGAAATAATTAGTAAGCAGCATGGTTGTTTGGGTTATTCCCCCCTCCCCCGTGGACACAACATCTTTATTTTATGTGGTGCTGAGGATCGAACCCAGTGCCCCACACATGCCAGGCGAGCGCGTTACCGCTTGAGCCACATCTCCAGCCCCAGTTGTTTGGGTTATTGAGAAATACTCTTATATTCATCATTTTACCTCTTTAGTTCAAGCAGAGGGAAATGAAGAACCTGAAACTTTGTGACTTTGAGGTGCCCAGTGGACATGCTTCTTGTCCTGGCTTTTGCATCCACCCTGCAGCTACAAAATACACCCCAGAACAGAGAGCAGCCCTTTTTCTTCTTTGTTAATTGGCCCCAGACAACATTCCTATTTTAAGATCACAACTGTGTATAGGAAAGTGGTAGCATTTAGAAGTGACCTTTCTTTCACCAGCAAGGAGGACACTGTAGTTCTATCTGTGGAAATGATTAATGGCCTGCTCTCATATTTTAATTTCATGGCAAGGATTGAGAGATGCCCATGTTGCCTTTCTGCCATTAGTAAAACTAACTCAGCTCCTGCTGACAACTTAAGAACAAGGCACAGCAAAAAGCTTTGAAGTCCTCTAGTGAACCTGTGGGTTGTTCTGCTTGTTGGCATTGCTTGGGTAAAAATATGTAGGTTGTGGGCCAGAGTTAGAAGAGAGAGACCAGCATGGTCATCTGTGGGATTGAGATTTAATTAAAGCTTCAACATGTAGGGACTTATGCCAGGAGCTGGAGAGAGGGGCCAGACTAGTAATTAAAACATGGGCCTTGCCGGGAAGGAACTTAGTGGGAGGAGAGAAAAGTACTCGTGATTTTTGACAAAGCTATGCAAGAAAGGTGCTGAACTGCTTACTTGTCCTCCTCAGAGGAGGTGGCACTTAAGTTGGTTCTCAAACAGCATTGTGGTTTTGTGGGAGAGGAAGGGGTTGGGGGAAGGGTGTGCCTCAGGTTAAGGAAACCGTGGGGTGGGGGCAAAGGCACAGAGAGAGGAGAACATAGCTGCAGTTCGGGTCCAGTGAGTGTGTCCATACATATACTGTTCTCATGCTCAAAGGCAGTAGTAGATGGGAAGTAGGCCTGAGAAGAAGGCAGGTTTTTCTTGCCCCTAGACTGTTGCAGGTTTGGACTTTGCCAGAGTAGAGACATTACAGGCAAATCCAGGGCTTCCCTGCAGGAAATGCCTAGTGCTGAAACTCACAGCAGATTGAGTGTTGATTGCATTATTCAGTATTCCCTGGAAGTGGTGAGAAGGAAGGACCCTCTCTATAGCAGCAGGATGAGGAATTTGAATCTGCCAGCCCTGGTGGCCCAGTGGACAGATAGTAAGAAGAGCATGTCTGCTTGTTTATTTGTTTTTACAACACAGGGTCTTGATGTGTTGCCCAAGCTGACTTCAAAGTCATGGGCTCCTATAGTCTTCCTGTCTCTTGGCCACCCAAGTAGCTGGGACTACAAGCACATGCCACTGTTCCTGGCCTAGAAAGGGCATGATTAAAGGGCTACCAGTACTTCAGGATGAAGCCCATGCTGTAGGATTTCCACATGCTTTGGCAGGGAATCCACTGGAAACAAGCATGTGAGGCTGGGGAGAGTGTGGGGCTAGAGAAAGACAAGGGAATGATCAGTGCTGACGTGATCACTAAAACACCAGGAAGGGCCACCATCAGTGTAGAGCAAGCAAGGACTGAACAGTGTAACATGGCTAGAGCAGCCAGGGGAGAGTGGGGGGTTTATTGTGTCCTTTGGGGTATCAGAGACCTGAATATGTTTATGGGAAGAAGAAAGAGTTAGGAAACTGCTGCATAAATAAATAGAGGCTAGTGGTTCAGTCAGGGTCCTGAAGATAGGGGTGGAATCCGAATCAAATGCAGAGGCAGAAATGCAGGATTGCAGGAGAAAGGCTGAAGGAGGGAGATAAGTAAAGGAAGAGAAAACATGGCACTCAGGGAGGACAGTTGGAATCCTTCATGGTGAAGGTAAGTCATACTTGTCTTGGGGGAGTAAAAGGTGAGATGAGGTGCTAGGAATGTGCAGGGGCTTGCAAATCATGAAAGTGTAACAGCAGCAGCTTGAAGCAGGTCAACAGTCCACGAGAAATCCAACAAAACAGTCCCGTAGTCGTTAGAAAATCTGATGCTGGAAGCTACTCACTATTTTATGTTCTGTTAGGTATTGATCAGAAAGAACTTGGAGAACAAAAGGAAGATGAAAAATCATGGGAGCAGCAAATGAAAGAACGAAGGCAAAGAGAAGAACGAAGGCAGAGTGAAAGGCAAGAAGCTCTAGAAAGGGAACGAAGAGAACTGGAAAAACTGGATCAGGAAAGGGTAATATGTTTGGCTTAAGTCTCTGTAGTAGTTTCTCCATTGAATGCCTTCAGAAGGTACCTGGAGCTCAGAGGTGAGCCAATGGTGTCCAGAAATCCTAAGTGGCAGGTAATGAAAGAGGCCTCCTCTCCTTGTCATACTATCACGAGAAAGGCTGGAGAGCGTACACCTTCTGAGTGTGATGATAAAGGATGGCTCTGTGGGGGGGGGGGTTTTTATTTTATTTATTTATTTATTTTAGTTGTAGTTGGGCACAATACCTTTATTTTATTTATTTTTTATGTGGTGCTGAGGATTGAATCCAGGGCCTCGTATGTGCTAAGCGAGCACTCTACCGTTGAGCCATAACCCCAGCCTAAGGATGGCTTTTGAAAGCATTTTTTGTATACGTGCTCATCTGATCTTTAAACTCATAGGGCTATGAGGTGGACTATGTTTTGCTGTGGAGCTTCCCTTTATAGATGGGGTTTAAAGAAGAGGCTTCCTAAGTCAGCTAGCTAGGACTAGAAGAACCAGGGGAGACAGGTGCCAGGCCCCAACTGCTTCCAGACATACATAATTCCCATAGGTTCTCTTTTTGCCTTCTGTGGCCTGATTTTAGTCCTAGGCAGATGGATTACTCTGGCCATTTAGCATGCTTGCCAAGTCTTGCTTAAATTAATCTTCCATATGAATGTTCCCTGGACTCCTGGTTAATTTGGGTCTAAAAGCACAGTACACTTTAGGCAAATTAATGCCTTCCTTCATTGGGATGTGTTCATCTCCCCTTTGATGGTAGCAGTGACTTTAATTTAAAGATATATTTTATAGGTATAATTATATTTATGTATGTATTTTTATATATGGTACTCTAGAATGCAGTTTTACTTTACAGGATCAGGTTTATAGTACTATGGTTTTTAAACACAGAAAACTTTTAAAATATATCTATTTCCTCTTTGGGCCCCATCTATTTTATAGAGAATGATTGAAGAATCATTGGAGATTGAAATGAAAAAAGAATTAGAAATGACTGTTCAAGATGTGAGAGACAAATCTACTCATGGAGAAAATCCTTTAGAGAAATATATGAAAATCATCCAGCAGGGGAAAGACCAAGAGTTATCTGCAGATAAGGTGCCTATGCTTTGGAGGGGAATCTAGGTGACAGAGGGGTTGGGGGATGGCACCAAGGGCTTCTGTGATTTAACTCCTAGGGACAGGAATCTGTTTTCTTTACTGAAGACAAAAATTATTAAAAGTACAGAAAATCCACACTTCAAATGGGCCCTCAACCCTTCAATATATTATGCTCTTTTGGCAAAATTTCATAGTTTGTGTTTAGGTAGAACATTGAAGAGATTTTGCTTTAAGATTGAATTATAGGTATTGAAAGTGTATACCAGTTTATTTTGATGTGCTGCTAAATTTCTTGTTTAAAAGTCAACTCTTTTGAGACTCAACATTGCAAAAATACTTCAGAGAAATCAAAATGTTTAATAAAGTTAATTCATATCTAATTTCAAAATTCTTTTGTGTCAGAGCTCAAAAAAGATAACCAGAGAATGCTCAGTAGTGGACACACTGCTATCCAGTGACAAGGATGAAAGGTATGGTTTTCCTAAACATTGCTCTTTAGCAAACCATTAGTGCTCATTTTGTCAGCCCAACAGAAATGGTCAGATACTTGAACTTGCCTTTAAAAAGTTGAACTGGGCACTGTAGCCAGGGGAGGCTGAGGCAGAAGGATTGAAGCCAGCCTCAGCAACTTAGTAAGACCTTGTCTCAAAATAAAAAGGGCTGAGATGTGGCTCAGTGGTTATGTGCCCCTGGGTTAAAAAATAAGATTGTGAATTTTTTTTTTTTTTTTAACTTGTGATGTTGATCCTGACACAAACTGAGAGCAAAAACCTTCCTCAAGGAAGGATGAGAACTTTAGGAAGGAATCATAAAAATGTCTAATTTTTGTTCTTTCCCTAATTTAGTTCCACAGGCTTTTCTCATGAAGAACCAGATGACATTTGGTAATCATGTTAGCTGCCCAGACTTCTCACATACAACAGTGAAGTTATGTAACCCATCATCCTTTCTAAATGTTTCTCTGTAACCAGATAAAATTCTTAATAAAAATTGTATTAATCCACTGGAGTGTTTTTTTTTTTTTTAAACTAGTCAAGTGAAATCTCTTCTCCAGCCATAGTTTCTCATTCATTACACTAAAATGAACTCTTCCCCCATTTTTGTCTTGGGTTATACTTATCTGTGGTTGAACTACAGGCCTACATTTTGGAAGTTCAAGTCCTCTCCAAAGTGAGGCTACCACATATAGAACAGGAGGCTATCTTCCCCAATATGCTCAGGTTTTCCCTCTGATATAAAGTCAGACTTTTCCATTCTGGGGTCTAGAAATAACACATCTACTATGGTTTGAATGTTTGCCTCTCCAAAATTCATATGGTGGAACTTAACTCCAAAGTGATGAGGCTAGAAAGAGCTAGAAGGAACTAAGCAGGCTCTTTTGCCCTTCCACAGTTTGAATACGGCATTCATCCCCGTTGGAGGGGACAGCTTGGAATCCAGACCGCGAACATGCAAGCCCGTTGATCTTGGACTACCCAACCTCCAAAAGTGTAAGAAATGCATTTGTTCTTTATAAATTACTCAGTCTATGAGATTTTGTTACAGCAGTAATAGAAGACTGAGATAACATCTTTATTGTGGAATCTTTAGTCTATTTTTGTTGGGGGAAGGGGTACTAGGAATTGAACCCAGGGGCACTGAGCTACGTCCCCAGTCCTTTTTGAGGCAGACTCTTGCTAAATTGCTGAGGCTCGAACTTGCAATCCTTCTGCCTTAGACTTCCAAGTTGCTGGGATTGACAGGTGTATGCCACCATGCCCAGCTGGTCTTCATTTTTAATGAATATACTTGTTGGCTTTTAAATGAGTAGATTCTCCCCAGTAACTCTAACTTTTCATCTCCTAAAAGTTAAGTTTTACAAGATGTAACTAGAAAAATCTGTCTCCCCAGAGGTTTCTACGTTTGGTGGCCCGATTACTTTGAATAATTAAAGAGACTGCTTGTGATCTTATCAGACCATAATTTAGTTTATTCAGGAGACTCACGTGACTTACGTTAATTGTACAAAATGCTGTTTAAACAGAAGGTACTATATGTACGGTGACAAATAGCAGGCTAATTGGGCTCCCACTTGTTCTCCTGCCGGGTGTGAGCCAGGCGTGAATGAAGGGCGATGATCCAGAGTCAGCACCTCATTTAGAATGTCTGTGTGTCAATAATGACAAAGGCTGGTCCTCACTGAGAAAGGTCAGGTGTAGAATATCCAAATACATAAGCATGCTGACAGATTAGTTTTAAAAAATTATGAAATCCTAGTAACAAATTTAGCTCTGCTGCTTCAAAGAGTTAACTGTTACAACTAGATTGTTACATTTCCAAATAAATTCTTTCACTCAACTTCCATACTTTGGGTTTGAAAATTAGCCAAGGGTACATGGACCCTGTTAAGGTTCCCCATTTCTACTTTGCCCGAGAGTAAGCCTTGTGTTAATCTTATCAATAGATGGCTTTTATTTATTTTATTGAAGAAGCTAGTCAGAAAAATTCTATACGTTTCATTCCTAGAACTCTATAAAGTGCTAGTGGCATTTTATGCAAAATATAGCCCAGTGGATTCCAATGTTTTCTTAAAATGCTCTCGCTGAAGAGTTTTGTCAGAAATAAAACAGCATTCTTAGATTTCTATGCAAATGTGAAATCTTGATAATGCATATTTAAAAATGACACCATACTGAGGACAGAGAAAGATAGGATTTATGTATGGTAAAAAGGCAAGCAAATGAAGCCATAATTTTATTTCATTATTCTTAGTACATCCACAACTATTTCCACCTAAATAGATCTTTAAAATAAGCATACACAAGTATTGACTATTATCTACAAATATTTATTGTAACACTTGAATAGAACTACAGGAAGCCCTTGGCACTGATAGAAAATATTGATTCACTGTTAGGTTACAAAAATTTATACATAGCAAAATTTAATGCTCTTTACATAAAAAATATTAGACTACTTCAACAAAACTTTCAAAAATTCCTGGTAATAGCTACCAGAATTAGAAAAGTAAAATTAGGCTTTAGACACTGCCTCTTCTAAAACACTGGACTCTAACAGCACCTCCACTGCTGGAAAAAAAAATATTAAGTCTGTCATGCAACAGGGAAACAAAACACTAAGCTACTTTGGAACTGTTCTACACAGAAGAGAGCTTCTTCCAATTTAAAAAACAAAAATCCAAATAGGCATTTTTAGGCATGAACCAAAAAAAAAATCCAAATGAAATATTATACTTGATGTTCAATTTTAATAGCATCTTGATAAAGGTATGCTTCCTTTCATTTGAATACATTTCTGCACATGTATGTTTTTAAATCCAGGAAACAGCCAAACCACAAGTTAACTCTTAACATGAATATACATAGTTAACCCTATAGTATGCAGCCCCTTTGAAAAGCACTGATGCACCCAACAGCTATATGGATCATTTCAAAAAGAACAACACAAAGTTTACCATCACTAAAACCCAGTACCTATAGTCACTTAATGTTCTGGAACACAATGACTTAGAAGGCAAATTTCTTTTGAAATGGCTTAAACTCAAGCAGTTTTCTTGCCGAACATTAAACATTATTCCAGGAAACCAAGATAAGAATTGAAATGAAATAAATACCAACCCTAACTTAAATTATGTATTCAAGTCTATAAAAGTAGGAGGTTAGAGGTCTGTGGTCAATTTGCAGTTAGATTTTTGATAGTTGGTATGAAACTGTAAACTCACCATTCAGACCACTTACAAATGGTTTAGAATGGTGGTCATTTTAATAAGGTAACACTTCTTAAAAATATTTATGGAACAAAATTCTGAGGAGGAGTTTGGGGCCTCTGGTTATATAAATTCTTACAAATTTCAGGCAAGTACTCATTAAGGCAGAGCTGATGCTTATTTCCCAAGAAGAATGAAAACTATTATTATCATTGTGTAAATGAAATTATTATAAAACTGATTCTGGAAAGCTTGTCACCAAGTCAGAATTCAGCTTCTTCTGTTAGGTTCAGCACAATTGTTGTAAGCTCTCGTTTTGTAGTATTTTTGAAAAATAGGTTTCTCATTAGCTGAGGAAATTAATGGGTCCTGGAATTGAGGAGTGCTAATTTGTTTTTTTAAAGTCAGTCATAGGAATCACATTATCTTTGAGCCCAAGTTAAATAAATGTCAGCTGTCAGAACTGGAACTTTACACCAATTCCATTTTATTTCCTATGTAGATTTTATTTTTTGAGGGCAGATAGCATGTGTGAATTTATGGTCACATCCCTTGATGCTGGCATGTCATAGGTCCCTATCAAGGAGTATGATGTATTCCCATTGCCTGTCTTGATAGAACTGCTCTGGCAATAAGTATACACATGCCACAAATTCTCAAAGGATGAACAGTTTGTCAAAAGTGTTGCCTTTTAAAATGGCTGACATGAAACCTCCAATATTTGTCCTAAAGAAAAAGATTTACCCACTGGAAGGTTTTCCTAGAGTACATCCCAGTAGCTTGAGACAGACAGTGAAATGTTGGTACGTCTACATTAGTTTGGTGGGATACACATCTGTACTGCAGAGCAGCTGATGATTTGTCAGAGCTGTAAAATCGTCGGCAGAAACACTCTGGCAAACATTTTATGTGTAAGAATTGAGTTGTTCTTTTGACCGAGACTGGATATCTTGCAGTTCCTGTTCTTCCTTTGCTTTGATATCCTGGTAAGCCTGCATTTTGCTCGCATCCTTTAAGTAAGCCCAGTTAGAAGACAGTATCATGAGGAAGTGGATCTGGAAAAGAAGGGTGAGCATGATGGCTAGTGAGCACGTGAGAAGGCAAAGCAAGCTGCTAGTCAGATTAGATGGACTCAACTGTAAAGGGGCAAGGGTTATTCGGTATTAATACTCATTCTGCTAGCAGAGCTGTCAGACACAGAGCATGCTCTACTAGTTGGCTTCATATTAAAAGGCTGAAGAAAAGTTAGTACACAAATATAGTGAACTTGGGGGGAAAATGGCCGAAGTTATTGTTAAGAAAAAGCAAAAATGAAACATAAGAATGCTTTTTACCATTTTGAGGATAACTGTAAAGACTAATGCAGAAGTTCAGAAACCCGTTGTTTATTTTAATTAAGTATAATGCAAAGATCTTTTCCACCTGTGGATAAAAAAATCAATTCCCCCAAAGACCTAAAAGTGTGAACAATGTTTATTTTGAGTAATTAAACTACATATTTAACATGGAAAAATTAAATGTCAAAACCGAAATTAAGAACTATATAAGCAAAGCATGCAGTTTCTTAATTAACAAATTTTTAGTAGTGAAACTATTTTTCATTTTATAACTGCCATTATTTCATTTCACAAAATGTAAAAATCCTCATTATCCTTCTTTACAATTGATGTGGCACATACTTCTTTCCCATTTTCCCCATCTTTCCTGCAAAATAAATCTATTTCAATTTCCTTGTATTTCTTACTTCCTTCACAACATATTTGAGACCTTCAGATTCAGGCCCAGTTTCTCTTCCCATTAAAATCTTACATGCCATTTGACAACTAGCTATGAGGAAACAGTTACTACTCACCAAAGGACAACCATTTAAGTTACCAATTTTGTAGGCTCTAAAGGAATGATTGTGTTATGCCAAAAAAAATAATTCATAGATCCTTTTTCAGAGAAATCAGATGGGTGACACCCTCTTTCTTCAAATTTTCATCTGCTTTATTTGTGGGGGCATTTATTTGGTAGTGAACCATATGATCATAAAAAGTTGTTTTAAGTCAAATTTAAAATTTGCAAAATATCTTCTACAGTAACAAAACAAAATCCAGATTAAAACATTTCTTTTCATCTTCAGCACTTGTTCGCATTTTCATCACTGAAAGTGGTTATCAAGCAAGCATAAGTAACGGAAAATGCAGGTATGTCAAAGCATTAATACTTCACTTAGATACTGCTCAACGTTTCTTTTCAAGAAAGTTTTTGAAAGGATGCTCACCAATGTCAGTAAGTAACTGAATGCTTTTCAA